CTACCCAGAATGTGCTACTATAACATGAATAATGTACTAAATTCTACAAAAGAATAATATTCTAAGTCTACAAATAAAAAAGTTGAACTTTCATCAAACAGAAGCACCATAGAGATCAATTAGACCAAAACTTGAGAATATATATACTATGGTCACAACACATAAACAATCACAACTAAGTTTATTATAATATTCTGAAGGACTAAACAAAGAGTATTCGTCCTTAGTTAACACAACAAACCTTGAATTCCTCAAATGTCAGTTTTGGAATGACTTTGGGATCACCTCCACTGTCAACACCATAGGTATTGTCTGGAAAAAGAGCCTGTAACAAATGTGCATGAAACAGTTACAAATGGAAACCAGATGTACTATATCAAAAGTATTCTGAAGAAAATAATAAAACAAAAAGGAGATACTTGGTAAACATAAAAACCAAGTACTCTAGTCATTCACAAAAGCTAATTGCCATTCAATGTTCAAGTGCTATAATCATCCACGATAACAGATGACTGTAAATCTTAACTTATCAATATGGATGGCTAGGTATACCAAGAATAAATTACCAACATACTCCAGCATTCATGACTCCAATTAGTATCACTACAAGCACACTGGTAAATAGATATGGAGCCAGAAGCAAGATAATATTGTATTAAGAAGATAACCATAAATAATTGTCACTGCTAATGTTTAATGATGTACGTATACATATGATTTTACAAAACATTTAGCTGAAACTAATGCGTTTAAACTAAAGCCCACCATGACTTTCTTCTTAACTAGTTAACATGGTTGCCCTGAATTAAGCCTGCTACAGTAAGTTCAAACAAAAAACCTAACTCGATAAAGTAAACAAATTCAGGTGACGGTTCATATTGTTATAGAGGGGGTAGAGAGAGAGAGAGAGAGAGAACAGCTAAGTACAATTCATTTTGGAATCAACAAGAGAAAATGAGAATTCAGCAGGAATATTTGACACATAAATCATAAGCCCATTGGGGCTAATGCAAATCATTAAGACTCCCTAGGAAATAATTGAGTCAAATATGGGTGAAGCTAAATGTGCCAACTGTTAAAACATAAACAAGAAACAATTGGGCAGAAAAATAAAAGAAAACTTGCCTGTTGAGAAGCCCGCCCAAGTATATTATCAGGCTGGGAGTAGACCCCTTTCATCTCATTGAAAACAACTCCTGAAATTAAGAACAAAAATCATTTAAGAAGAAATAAGACATTAGCTTAATAATTTGGAGTCAATGGAATTTATAACCATGATACATCATTTTATGAACTAGGCACATCTATTAAGTGGGCAACCTTTATAAGATATATCTTCGGAAGGATCGTTGAGCTCATAATGCCAACCCTCCTGCTGGAAAGTCCGAAAGTCCTCCACACATTTAGGAAAGAACACAGCATCCAGATATACATCAACAAGGTTATAGAAATCCTGATATAAAATGACAACCATGATTTAGTTTAGAATAGAGAGTAGATACAAGATAGATCACATTGTATTTCCTTCCCAATTCTCTACTCGTTTTTACCTTCGTATTTGTGGAAGCAACTGGATAGCAAGTCCGATCAGGATATGTGAATGCATTCAGAAAAGTGTTCAAGCTTCCCTTCAACAATTCAACAAACGGTTCTTTCAAAGGGTACTTTCTAGACCCCACACAATACACTATGTTCCAGTATGTGTGGAATCCCAGTGGAATCATTCCTGCATCAACAATTAGATAAAAGAACATTCAACATCTAGATTATCAAAGCAAAACAAACAAGGGGAATTTGCATTCACTTCAAACAACTTGATTTATATAGATTTTAAAGTCTATTGTAGCTCAACCAAGCAAACATATAATCGGCAGAAAGTACAGTATCCCAATTGGTAAATACTAAGCTCCATTACATAAAAGAGAGATTTTCTGGGAAAAATACTCACGGTGGGGTCCGGAAAACTATACCGAACACCTTATTCTCATCATCGTTGGACACTGAAATGACTTGGGCACCGGTCTTTTTGTGCCTGAAGAGCAAAGCTTTGGATTTACACTCTCCAATGAACTCTTCAGAGACCTTTTCGAATCCGAGTTTCTCCACAACTTCATCCTCCACCCCAGAAAACTCTATAATAATAAAAACTCAATCAAAACACAAAATTACATAAGGGTAGCTAGGGTTTTGAGACGGGAATGTACCTGAAGGAGACTGAGTGAAGGGGGTGGCGATTGCGCGTGGGGCGAGGGATGAGAAGCTTCTTCTAGTGGAGTTGGGGGCAGAGGAGGGGAGCAATCTGCTGCTGCGGCGGAGCGGGGAGCGCCTGCTGGGGTTCAGAATCCGACGGTGGCGGTGGTTTCGGATAGCAGAAGCTGAAGAAGAAGACGAAGAACGAGATGAGGGTAAGGCGAAACCAGAGAGGCGGCGAGCAGAGCGGAAGGAGAAGAAGAGTCTGTTGCAGGCGAGAGAAGAGCGAAGCAGAGTTGCTCCCTCCATCATTTTTCAGTGGTGTCCTGAGTGTCGCTTTGCTGATAAGAGTGAGAAAATGGGTTTTGAATTTTAATGGCGTTTTTTGGTTTTTTCGATTGAGAGGGAAAATATCTGTGAGGGTTGAAGCGTATGGAGTTGGGAGTCTGTATATTGGGTGGTGTGGAAGTAGCAACGTTTTTCTTCTTCGCTTGTCTTTCTTGCCTAGAAAGTTGAAAGATTATTGCCCTTCAATTTTTCATGGGAGAGTGAGGACCAAGATATTTGTTTTTTTTTTTTTTTTTTTTTTTTTTTTTTGGTTTTCTGGTTCACAGTGAAAAAAAAAGTATCAACCAAAAGAAAGTGAAATGTAATTATTGTAGTTGTTGATTAAGTAAGTTTACATTAGTTTACATTTAATTTTTAAATTTTTGTTTCTTGAGTTAATAGTTCACATGCACGTTTGAACAATTGACATAATCGAAACTTTGGTTCATAAATTAAAGCATCCACAATAGTTGTTTAATAGTTAGCATCTGTTGAATTGAACTATAATTTTACTTACAATTGTACTGTTTAATAGCTTCAGATTAATACCTAGAAGAAAATCTTAGTCCATTGTGAGAACTCATAAATTTAAGTTAGGATGAGAAAAACCAAAAAAAGTGAAATGATTTAGCGGTTTAATTAGTTCGAGTGATTTTTTGCGCACCCCTTTTATTCTTATTATTATTTTGTTAAACCACTAATTTACCAAAGTTTAATATCTCAAGTGTGAAATTTGGCCTTTGTATATACATAGTTCAAGAAGAGTGTAGAAAACCAAAACGTTTTATAAGAGAGTAATTCAAGAGATTGAATGTGTGTGGTTTTGGGATGCATTTGATTGCTCCATAGACAATCATCTAATTATTGTTCATGGCGTGATATCTGTTTTACATTAAAAAAAAATTTCTTTTTATGCTTTTAATAACACCATGGGCTCTCGTTCCAATTTCCGACCCATGATCAAATCAAGTCCCTGTATGGTTGCAAATTAGTAAAAAGAATTGTATTGTAATTTTTGAATGATTTTTTTTTCCAAACGAATTCTCGAATATCAAATGATAAATATTACCCGTTAAAATTAAATTAAATCTTCTTAAAATCATGCATGACTATTAACAACAGTGGAGTGTTTAGAAATAACAGAGGCTCAATGGTTAAATGGGCATTTCATGTTCAAGTGTGTTGAGTGGACCAAGCAAGTAATGGAAATTCAGTAAAAGCCCAAACCAAGTAATGGGCCTAATTCGTACAAGTAGAAAGACATGCATGGAGTCATTCTACAATGAGGCTCTTAGATAAGATCTTATCATTTTATCGTTGGATCAAACTAACTAAATTGATCAAATGGCTAACCAATTTGATATAACAGTTAAAAGATAGGGCATCATTTAAGGACCTTAGATAAAACCCTCACTATAGAATTCTTGGACATGCATGAATGTTTAGTTTGATTGATTTAAAACTGCACCTATATCTATTTGTTGGATTTTTTCATTGTATACTTGTTACATTGGTTGGTTCGGTTCAAAATTACACTTGTTTGGTATAACATCAAACCAAACAATTTGAATTGATTTGATTTAGCGACGTAAATGGTTCGGGTGGTTTCTTGCCCACCTTAGCATTCTTATTTTCTTTTAAACAAGTTTAATATCTCAAGAGTGAAGTTTAACCCTTTAAATAGTAGACATAGATCAAGAAGAGGCTAGGAAACCAAAACCCTATAAGAGTACAAAATTAGACTTGAGCAAGATGCCTCAAGCAGCAGAAAAACTTGTGTGAAATAGTGCCACATAAAAAAGTTATTCAAAGCGTGACAATCATGAAATTATTGTTACCCAAACAATCATCAGATTATTGTTTAAGGCGCATGACACCTGTTTTACATGAATACGAAATGATTTGGCCCCACATAAAGACAGAAAGATTATTATATAAATATGATGATATCTGCATGAACTCAATCCATCATGCTTTTCGAATTAACTTTCTCATCATATCGTGTTAACTGTTGTTGTTGTTGGCTCTCATATATTGCACAATTTTCTTTTAATGCATTGGTAGTCATATGATCCAGATTAAAGTACAAAGTTTTAGGGATGAAAATGTTATAAACAATATCAAGATGTTGGAGGAAATTGAAAATATAGTTTAGTATTATGCATAAGGAAATTATAAATACAAAATTAGTGAAACACTCATTCCTAGACATGAAACTATAAATATACCCTACACTATTTAAAACATAGAAACACACCCAAAATAAACCCAAAAATCAACAATTGTATATTTTTTAATTTAATTAATAAGATGAAATATCTTTATTACCCTTTTTAGCATTAAATTAGTTTTCGATATCGTTTGAAGCCTCCCTCAGGTTTGAAGCCTCAAGCCCCTCTCCTGCTTCAAACCATCATCTCTCCTCTGTTCTCTCCCTTCTTCCCTCTCTATGCCTTCAAAGTAAACCAAACAGTCTCAAAGCCATGGACCAACACAAGACCGATGACAATCTCCGTTACATAGGTGGCCTCACACGTGTTCTCGCCGCCTATGCCTCCATTTCCTTTGCAGGTTTGTTCCATCTGCTTCAATTCGTTATTTTCTTTTTTATTTTTGCTTAATTTACTTGAATTTCTACTTGATTTCAGTTTCTTCGTTGAATTTGGTGCTAATTTCTATTTTTTTCGATATGAACACAGCTAATGGTTAAGCTCACGGAGTTCTGTGGCTACTCTGTAGATTTGAGGTGTCAATTGTCGGACAAAGGTGTTCAGAACGCCGAAGCCGGTGGTGATTGCGAGAAGAAAGAAGATGAAGACGATTTCCACCGACAATATATTCCAAAATGGCCAAGATCCGTCCTGTGTTACCAATTTTCAACTCGGATCTCTTGTTCGCAGATGCCGACGATGATGATTTTTCCATAGCCAAAGGGGCTGCCGCTTCTTCTTCCTTTCTGCGGCTGCCATTGAAGAAGCTCTTCTTTGAAGAGCTGGATACACCGAACTCGGCAAAGTCGTTTTACAACTCAGAAGGTAGAGGTCCTGATCCATGAGAGCAACCAGCTTCTAAGTTTGATCATCAACACCTTTTACTGATTTTGTGTTCCAATTTAGAATAGGCCTCAATGATTTTGTGTTTTGGAGCTGAATACAAAAGCAGTGATTCATACAGTTATGATTCTGAAAAATGAACAACTGCTTGTGTATTTCATTTGAAGCATGTCTAGCCATGGTTTGTATAATGTTTTTTCTTGGTGTCCTACCCATTGCTCTTGTATCTTTCTGGCAATATGGATTTAATCCTCATGAAAAGAAAAAAGAAGAAGAAGTAATTGACACACTAATAATCTGGTATAGCTGTGTTAAGTGATGGATGGTAGATGTTAAAACATGTGAACATACAAGCCTTGTTGATTTTAAATTTGAGAATTTTAATGTATGTACTCTGTCTCTATACCAACAGCCGAAGCAAATCCACGAGATTAAGGATTTCCTTCTAACTGCAAGAAGGAAGTATGCACGCTCTGTCAAAATCAAGAGGAGCAAAGATGCTGTCAAGTTTAAGGTTCGATGCTCCAAGTACCTCTACACTCTTTGCGTGTTTGATTTGGAGAAGGCCGACAAGTTGAATCAATCCCTTCCTCCAGGTATATCATTTCGTTTTCAGTTGTGTCATTTATTATGATTTGCAACTCGCATATGGTCATCTTTCTGTGCTTTGATATGGCATTTGCACAACAAGTTTCTATCTCATGATTTACTTCACTTTCCCTTTGACTCTACAGAGAGGAGTTCAAGTTTGAGAAAGACCAAGTCACAGATTTTCACAAACAGATCTGTAAGTTATCTTTTTTTTGTTGGTTTTATAGTATAATATATTGATCATTTTAGTTGAAATTGTATTATGAAAGTAATTTTCTCTCTAGAATGACTATCTATTTGAATTTTGAAAGTAAAAAATAGGGTATTTAAAAAAAGGTTTAGATGTAAATATAAAAGGTTGGCAGGACTTGATTATTGCTTGAACTTGATATATGTTGTACTTTAAACTGTTATGATATGTACATAACCTTCCAACTTAGTTACATAACTCATTACTACTCTTCTTAAATCAATGGTTTTCTTTTGTTTGGGGAACAGATTGCAGTGACGAAGTTCTTATGCCCTTCTTCTGCTTCTTAAAAGCATATCCCATTACTGTAAATTATTTCATGTTTTTATTGTATTTCTAGTGCATTTTGTCTAACTACTTACCATGCTTGGTATGTTGTGCTAGGCTTGTAAATTGAAATTGGGGGACCTGAAAGGAGCACTATTAGACACCGACTTTGCAATGAGGGATGGAGAAGATAATGTTAAGGCTTTGTTTCACCAAGGTCAGGTTAGTATCTTTTGTTTATGCATGTATGCCGATGTGGTCCTAAATCTGCTTAAAGTTGTATCATTCTTCACTTCTTGGTGCATTTAATTCTATATTTTCAATGTCTTATCCATGCAGTCTGCCTTTATTGTTATTTATGAAATTTGTGAATATTGCCTTCACTATTGTTGCTGGTTGTTAAGTTATTGATGAGAAGTTTATTGGATTGCGTCCTTATATCCTGATGGCTATGTTCTTTCTGTTTGTCAGGCATACATGGCGCTTAATGATATTGATGCTGCAGTTGAAAGCTTCAAAAAGGCATTGGATCTGGAGCCAACTGATTGTTTGTCTCTCATTGAAAAGGCATTGGATTGCGTCCTTATATCCAGTAAGTGGTATGAACAGTTGTTATACTATTCATACTCTACAATTGAGTTGATTTCTATGACATAGTATTAACAGTGTACTTCTATTACATAGTATTAACAGATTTTCAGTAATGAAACATACTTTATATTTTGCTCATATAGCTGTGCACTTGAAGTTTATGATATGCATAATGTGATTTTCACTAGAAAGATAGTTCTATGACATAATATTAACAATGTACTTTTTTTCCTTATTGTAGAGGGCTTTTACGATTACTTCTAGTGAAACTATGGACAATTGGAGGTGGTTTTTGCAAAGGATATCGGATATCTTGCTGGGCTTTTTTGGATTTTTTTGAGTTTTTTGTATAAAATGATATTAACAATGTTTTTTTATGAAATAGTATTAGCAATGTTTTTCTATGAAATGGTATTAACAATGTTTTTCTATGAAATGATATTAACATTGTATTTCTATGATATGATATTAACAATGTATTTCTACGATATGGTATTAACAATACACTTCCATGATATGGTATTAACAATACACTTCTATGACATGGTATTAACAATATACTTCGGGTTTGCTAGGCTTATTTTGGGTTTTTTTTGAATTTTTTGTATTGGGCTTGTTTTAAGTTAATAAATGGCAGAGATGTAATTTATAAGAACTTTAACACTCATTTTTTAGATGATAAATGGTTTTTTGGTATGTTTCTAAAGTTTATTCCATATATGGTTTTTTTTTAATTTCAAGTCCTATTTTGGGTATATTACTAAAGCTCCCAATTATAAATCAACATTGCCTTCAGGTTGATGTCTAATGATCTTTCAATTTTAATGAGCAGATAAAACTTTCAATTAAAAATTGGTTATAAATTGGTAGCGGCACACCTCCTTTTTTTTTAGAAGTAATCAATCATTTGGAGTTTGAGGTTCTCCAACATTTTGACAATTACGATTATCATGTTGTTAACATCAAAGCCCATAATGATCAATGGACGAGCTAGTAGCTTTTGTTTGGAAGTGTCATTTAGCTGTAGGGTTGAAGCAAAGTTATTGTCTCTCATTTCCAGAAACTGCAGGATTGAAACAACTCAGCAATTCCCGAATTCCAGAATTGTTGAGACATTTGATCTGCAGGATTGAGCTTATCTTTTATAGTAATTTACTTGCAAATCAATTTTAATCAGTTCACATTATTAAAGGTGTTGAGATATTCTTGGTTATTGACCTAAGAATATTAGGACTCCTTTAACGGTGGGATTATCATAAATTTCCTTTATTGGGTTTTTACTTTCCTATTGATTTTGGGCTTTACAGTGATCATTATTAGAATAGGAAAATATCTTTTGATTTGATTCAAATCGTGCAAATCAAGTAATTTGGTTTTCAACGTATTTTCTTTCTTGCAAAGAAAAAGTCTATAAAATAAGACATTTATCTTATTTGTTTGTAGAGCTTTCACGATCATATTTTCAGTCCATAAACTTTGGAAAGCTGAGTTTTTATTTGAGATAAATCATCAAGTGTTCCATGTTTACTTAGTGATTTATCAAACACTTTTATCATTTGTATTGCATTCATTTGCATGTTTGGTGACTCATACGGTTCAGGGCACCAAGACCGTGGTGGCGGTTTCCTCCAGTGAGCTTGAAGCAATCGTGACCAGTATTGCGTTCAACATAAGGAGCGTCGAAAATCATCTCGTGACAGAAGTTGAGTTACGAAGAAATCGGTAAAAATTATCTAGAATGTGTTTAGGATAAGTGTGTGATTACTTCTTATAATCATCATTCTATATTGGATTTATGTTGGACTGAGGAGTCCCATGAATTTTCCCCATATGTGGGGTTTTACCACGTAAAATAATTCTCTGTGTGTTCTTTTATTTTATACTCTGCACGTTCCTGCTACTGAAGTTTATTTTTATTTATTGATTATAATTTTAAGGACAAACTACACTTTAGTGGCTGGAGGTTTAGTGTCAGTATCGAAATGGGCCCTAAGGTTTCATTTTAATCAATTTCGTACCCAACGTTTCGAAATATTACCAATTTACACCAGCTATTACGTTGACCGTCAAAGTCAGACGTTAACTGCTGACGTGGCAGTCGTGGGACCCACCTTATAATCAAACAGTAATTAGAAAAAGACGAAATGAAGGGCAATTTCGGAAAAAAATAATAAAAAACTCTTTAAAAATATTATTAAATTAGATTTTTTTAAACAGAAAAAAAAATATATATATCCCCCACACACTCTCTCTCTCTCTCTCTCCCTCCCCCACGACCAGAAACCCCCACCCCCAATTTTCTGAAACAGCAGCAAGGCTTAGAGACTCACCGCCGTCGCCACCGTGAACCACCGGCCACGAGACCGGCCCATTTGAACCACCGTCCTACCCTCGTCCTGTCCCGACCAGTTTCACCCGTCGCCGACCACGGAGCTCGCCGAAAACTGCAGAAAATTGGCCGTTCCATGACCCTGGTCTAGACATTATCTTAGCTTCTTCACTTCACCTAAGAAATACAAAGCCACAGGCTTCACAGTCTACCCGATTGTTGGAACCCTACCCTCCTTCCTCAAGAACCGCCATCTATTTCTCTACTGGACCACCAAAATTCTCATAACCTGCCCCACCAAAACCGCCGTCTTCCGCCGCCCAGGAAAAATCGGAGGCATCATAACCTCCAACCTGTCAAATGTGGAGCACATGCTCAAAGGAGACGAGCTCGCTGTGCGGGTTTTCTTGGGCAAACGCCTCAATTTAAGAGCGCCATATTTATGGATTCAAGCACCATTTTAAAGCTTTAGGTGATTGTTGTATTTTAAAATCTCATCTTTGGAGTTCTGTGTTTGTGTTTATTTGTTGGTATTTGTGGAAATGGAGAAACCAATTTATTTTAAATGCTGAGGACGTTGTTCTTTCTAATCCTAGGTAGATTATTCTCTCTGCTGTTTCTGAGTGGAGCAAGGCTTCCTGTGGTTGTAGGGCAGTTGAGGTGAAAGTACAAACTCTTTTGGTTTGGGATTTTCCTGGGACTGGAGTGGTCAAACTTAATGTGGATGGGATAAAGCAGCTTTTGGGAATATGGGTGCTGGAGGTGTTCTTCATGATTGCAAAGGGGAATGACTTGGGGGATTTGCTGTGAATCTGGGGAAGGGTCAAATCCTTGAAGCTGAGCTTTAGGGTTTATTTTTTGATCTTAAACTGGCCCTGGATAAAGGTGTTAGTAGGATTGTCATTGAGTTGGACTCGGCTCTAGCTGTTATTCTTATTCAGCAAATGGACTCCTATTGTTTTCATCCCCTTGCTGGTCTGCTGTATAAGGTAATCAATATTTGGTTGAACATTTTGTCTAAAAGGATGAGAATCTGCTTCCTTTTGTTAGTCAAAAACAGAACACCCTCCTCCGTCCTAGTAAAAAAAGTGAAGAAAAATCAAAAACAGATTTTGACCATTAATAATCAATCTCCTTCAAGTTCCAAGCCCCATGCATACTATACTATTATTCAAAAGGCTCTCTGTTCTCGTTCTTGGGTCTGTTGGAGGATCTCGAGCTCTTGGGTCTGTTGGGTTTTCAAGTTCTGGGCGGAGAGAGGGAGGGAGATAGGAGGAGAGAGAGAAAGTAGGGATTTTTGTTTTGTTTTAAAAAATCTAATTTAATAATATTTTAAAAGAATTTTTTATTATTATTATTTTCCGAAATTGCCCTTCATTTCGTCTCTTTCTAACTACTGTTTGGTTATGAGGTGGGTTCCACGACTGCCACGTCAGCAGTTAACGTCTGACTTTAACGGTCAACGTAACGGCTGGTGTAAATTTCTAATATTTCGAAATGTTGGGTACGAAATTGATTAAAATGAAACCTTGGGGCCCATTTCGAGACTGACACTAAACCTCCAGCCACTAAAGTGTAGTTTGTCCTATAAATTGGCTTATTCACCCTCTCTCGGCATTCTTAGTCATCCTACAGGTGATTTCAGCTTTTATTTGGGGGCTCTTGGAACCTTATTAGATTATAGTCTTCCATCCACTCCAGCAATGACTGTTGCCGAGAAGGTAATTTCAGCTTTTCTGCAGTAAGTATCTACTACAAAATTGTAAAAGCCTTAAATTCAGCCACGATTAAAAGTTTTTAAACTTAAAAGAACTGTGTTAGCAATACAAAATAAAATTGAAAATATGTTAAGAGACTTGTACCAGATCAATAACATCCACGTTGGATTTTTCAATACGTAAAATGTTATTTGTTTGTTGTAGTTGACTCCCCCAACATATATAAAAGAGTCCGAAAAAGGAAAAGAAAATTCCATGCTAGAAAATTGAAGTAGTACTGACTAATTAAGAGTCTCTAAACCGAGCCTAAAAAACCAAAATGAAGTTACTAAAAAAAGTACTTGAAAAAAGAAAAATTAATGACTAAGGTAGTGGATGTCCGGGACATGTTTTTAAAATATTTGTTTTTATTATTCTAAATTATTCCCGTTCACTTGCATCCCCCAAATCTGTCATCATAATTCTATGCTTTTGCATTCAAATCAAGGAGTAATTTTTGCATATGTTGTGACTCAATATTTCGACAACTAGACAATGACCGACATATCTGCATTATTTTGTATCATTCATTATCTCAACAACTTCGTGACTCACTTATTGTGCGGTACGTGACATATGGTGCTACAAATAATTCATTCAAATTATAATACAGCACATGTTAGGTTTCATTTCAGATTTGGTGGAGCCCACCATCTGCCCAAGCTGGATTGCTGCGCTGGAAATGGCTTCTGAGGCCCTGGGGTGTAAATGCTCTTAATATGTTGTCGGTAATGTCTTATTATTTCAAGAGCAAATAATCTCTCATAATCTTGATATGACAATTATAAATAGTCTGTAGATGCTGTCAATATTATTAATTTGCTACATAAGTAATGTTTTTTCGGAGAATTTTACTACAGTAATAGTGGTATTTACCTGTATCTTCTTAAATTATTTTCACAGTGATCACAACTTTCAAACATTTGATGAGTACGATAGGGCTATCAACTAACTAATGAAGAGGACAAAATGATTAGCTAATCAGTTTTGTTAGAATAATTTAGAGTAAAAAGACGGCAGATGAAATCAATGTATCCTGAAAAAGAAGACCGAAGTAGCATACATAAGCACTGAAAACGCAATAAAACCAATCAAAACTCGTCAAGAAAAAAGAAAGATATCTGGATTAAGATATGAACCATTGAATTTGTTTGCCGTCCTAAATAAAACCAAGACTTCAAAATCAAATATATGAAAAGATCTATCTGCCCTTGTCTTTGCCAAAACTATATGCATGAAATTCCAAAGGAATGAAGACAAAAATGTCCAATACCAGCCAATTTGTTTTTTTAAGAAATAATTGAAGGGTCCATGGAAACCCACCAAGGCCCTAATCAAAACATAAATTTTGCAGTTACTCTGCAATCTCCTGTCTGCACAAGAAAAGAGAGACTGAGAGAAAGGCCTCTACACTTGTTTGTTATTATTCTCTTTTCTTCCTTCTCCAATCCAAATCATGAGCAACGAAGAGATAGCCCATGAATTCTCTAACATTATTAAAGTCTACAAAGATGGTCGAGTTGAGAGATTCCTAGGCACATCAACAGTAACTCCATCAACACATCCAGAGAATGGCGTCCAATCAAAAGACGTTGTGATCTCACAAGAACCAGCCATATCTGCAAGGCTTTACATCCCAAAATCTGCCGCCACAAGTTCACCCCAAACCAAACTCCCTCTTCTCGTTTACTTTCATGGAGGCGGCTTCTGCATTGAAAGCTCATTTTCTCCCACATATCACAACTACCTCAACACCTTAGTCTCTGAGGCCAATGTTGTTGCCGTCTCTGTTGACTACAGGCTTGCCCCGGAAAACCCTTTGCCGGCTGCTTACGATGATTCATGGGCTGCTCTCAAATGGGTTGCTTCCCATTTTAATGGAAACGGCTCTGAAGATTGGCTAAACAGATTTGCAGATTTACGCGGTGTGTTTTTCGGCGGTGACAGTGCTGGAGCTAATATAGCACACAACATGGCTTTGAAATTGGGGTGTGAGGGATTGGTTGGTGTTAAGCTTATTGGGATTGTATTGATACATCCTTACTTTTGGGGCACAGAGCCAGTTGGGGAAGAGTTAACTATCCCTGCAGCTAAAAGAGAGTATGTAGCTGCAATGTGGCGTTTCGCTTGCCCTTTGAGTATCGGATCCGATGACCCGCTTTTCAACCCGGGAAAGGATCCGAAGTTGGGGGAATTGGGTTGTGAGAAAGTGCTGGTTTGTGTTGCTGAGAAAGATGTTTTCAAAGATAGGGGGTGGCATTATAGTGAGGTACTGAAGAAGAGTGGATGGAATGGGGTTGTGGAGGTCATAGAAGCAAAGGGGGAGGAACATGTGTTCCATTTGCGCAATCCCACTTGTGAGAATGCTGTGGCCATGAAGAAAAAGATTGCTTCCTTCTTGAATTAGAACAATTTGCCTGAAAATCTTGGTGTACTTAATAATACGACCATAGCCTCTAAGCAAGGTTGGTTGGTGGTTTTCCATTGTTGTAATTTCTTCATTTGTTTTATGTATGTTTCTTTTCTTCATTTGTTTTATCCCTCGTATGTTTTCGTCCTGCAAAATCATTTTATGCCTAAGGGAAGCTACAGTAGTTGAGGGTAGGTATGTTTTCAAAGACTTTATATCTACTACTAGGAAAGTAGAATAGTCGTACGGTAAATGTTCCATCTAAGACCTTTTTAGTAGTAGTGATTTAAAATGAAATTGTGCACTTCACATGTCAATACAGAGTGTTTAACTAAAGGAAAAACTTAGAAAATGATCTTTGCACTGTCATGTATCGCAATATGTTGGAAGTGTTTTTTGGTATGTGCCTTTAATATGTTAATTATGTATATGTATTGGATTATAAGTAATAGTTAGGGATAAATGACTCCTTATCTATAAGAAAACAAGCAAAGTGTTTAATGAAATTATAATTTATAACTGCCCCCTGCCCATGTATGATTCAATATCAAATTCATTTGGGAAATTCACTATCATACCCAATATAGGGGCCCAAATTCTATAAAAACCATACATGAAATGAACTTTAGAAACACACCAAAAGCTCATTTACAATAGAACAAAGAGGCTTCAAAATTTCTATAAATTACAAAACTATCATCGATTTCTTAAAACAAACCTAATCCCAAAACCTCATTAAAAAAAAACCCCCAAAACACTCACAAGGGCATCAAAGTAATTTAATAATTAAATTTAAATTTAATATGATAAGCTGTCATTTTTAGGGTTTTTTTTTAAAAAAATTTGTTTATAGAAATTAAATGGTGTACTCGGAACATACGACCATTTCTCAAAATAAATAGGGAGACAATTAATTGATCTTACACGTTTTTTGTTGTTGTTGGTACTTATGGTTTTTCTCCATGAGATATAGCATCTAATTGTTGTTCCCAAGCAATTCTCTTACAAAGAATACAATGAAGTGAAAATAAAATAAAAATTTATCTTAATTAGCTAGGGGACAGGTTCTTCATCAACAGCCTCCCTCTTGTCCCATTCAATATTTCTACAACTAGACAATGACCGACATATCTGCATTTGTAAATTGTATCATTCAATATCTCAAGAACAATGCCGTCACTCACTTACTGTGTGGTACATGATATATGGCGCCAGTGACGGATCCACATAGTGGGCTGTCTGGGCTACAGCCCATACAAATTTTTTTTTGTATTTGTAATACCATATAGTATTCTTAAGATAAAAAAAAACTTAATGGAGATAGCCCATCCCAAAGCTGCAAGAAGAAAGAACAGAGAGATGGAGCAGACGGAGAGAGAAGAAAGAAAGAAGAAGAGAGGAAGAAGGAAAAATAATAGAGAAAGAGGGAGAGGGAGAGAGAGAAAGAGAGGAAAAAAGAATAAAAAAAGAGAGGGAGAGATTAAAAAAGATAGAGACGAGAAAATATAATTAAAAAGAGAGAGGGGGGAGATATGTGTTGGGATGAGATGTGTTTTTATTTTGTTAGAGCATCTACAATGGGCTCCCTAAACATCCTTAGACAAATTTTAGGGAGGAATCGTAAAAATGCAACTCCAACCACACTCCCTATCCACCTCCTAAAATAGGGAGTTCTCTAGGAGCTCCTAAATCTGAGGAGAGAGAAAGGATTCCTAGTGACTCCCTATAATTTAATGCTGCTTTATTTAATGAGTATTTCAAACATTTATTTAATGCTAACTATTTTTTTATTTTATTTTATAATAGAGATGGACCAATTAAAAAAGAGTTAAAGCATTTATGACTCTCCAAATTATGGAGTATGGTTGGAGTTGAAAATTTTTTAGAGAGCTCCTAAAATAGCTTTCTTATATTCTTAGCCAAATTTTAGCTAAGAAATAGAGAGCATCATTGTGGATGCTCTTAGGTGCACTGCCCCACAAAATGGGATGTTTTAATTTTATTATTACTTTCTTTTTTAACTTCAATTCCTTATAAATATCTTCTTCTTTTTTTCTTTCTTTGTTTCCCTTCAATCCCTTCCAAATATTTCAACAATATTATCAATAATTCCAACATTTTCTCTATTTCAAATGTCGTATAATAACAAAAGTTCTAAATACGATGTAGAAAATATACTGAAAAAAGAGTGTTTATATAAAATAAAAATATAACAAACTAGGGCTTATGATTTACCCAAAAAAAATAAATTATCCACCCTTGTGGGTTACCTCTAGTTTTTAGTTCCTAAAATCTATTGTCCAAGCCTAAAAATCTACAAAAACCAACCAAAATCCACAAAACTCATGCACCAAATTTTCTTAATACATTTGTACTTAAGATAAATTTAGCCCACCCGATTTGCAATTTCTGGATCCGTCCCCGCTACAAATAATTCATTCAAGTTATAATACAGCACATGTTAAGTTTCAATGTCAGAATTAAAATTAAAATTAATTAAGTAAATTCATGTCACGTAGTATTATCATCGCATGGACAACTAAGGGAGGCCAAATTCCTTGCATATGTTCACATTTTCGAAATTCACGTAAGAAACCATGTAGCATGTAGAACTGCTTACACATTTCAAGTAGGGAATATATTTTTTAAGGGAAAAGGTATTGATCCATCGACTAACTTCTTCAAATTCCACGTGTTGGCATTTGGAGCATTGTCTGATGTTCTTTCAATGATCATAAACGTTTCTTGCATTTGATCAAAGAGAGACGTTTCGTGCAATTGATGAAGGGTAGCCGCTCGTATTACACGTATACACTTCTTAATCAAACAATCATAAATTATGTGAGCAACTTATGTGAAAAAAGATTTAAATATAACTAATGGTGAAGCAATCTTTTCAAATAGTACTATTACCGTAGTAAATAATTTCATATAAATATGAGATTAATAATAATAAAAATTGCTAGGTATGTATAAAAAAATATTATTTTTTTTTACATTGATGACGTCATCGCCCTGACATTTTGTGAAGCCCACCATCTACCTGAGTTGGATTGGTGCGCTGGAAATGGTTTTTCGGGCCTAGGAGGGCCTTTTGTCTAGGCTAGGCTGCTAGGGTGGAAATGCTCTTAATATATTGTCAATAATGTCTTATTATTTCAATAGCAAATAATCTCCTATAATCTTGAATATTGTTAATTTGCTACATAAATAATGTTTTTTGGGAATTTTACTACAGTAATAGTGGTATTTATTTACCTGTATTTCCTTAAATTAGTTTCACAGTGATAAGTGATAGGGCTGGGCTATCAACTAACTAATGAAGAGGACAGAATTATTAGCTAATCAGTTTTGTAAGAATAATTTAGAGGAAAATGACTGCAAATGAAATCAATGTATCCTGAAAAAGAAGACAAAAGTAGCACACACAAGCACTGAAAACGCAACAAAACCAATCAAAACTCGTCAAGAAAAAAATGATATCTGGATTAAGATATGAACCATTGAATTTGTTTGCCGTCCTAAATAAAACCAAGACTTCAAAATCAAATATATGAAAAGATCTACCTGCCCTTCTCTTTGCCAAAACTAAATGCATGAAATTCCAAAGGAAGGAAGACAAAAATGTCCAACACCAGCCAATTTGTTTTTTTATAGAAATAATTTGAAGGGTCCACGGAAACCCACCAAGGCCCTAATCAAAACATAAATTTTGCAGTTACTCTGCAGACTGCTGTCTGCACAAGAAAGAGATAGACTGAGAGAGAGAAAGGCCTCCATACTTGTTTGTTATTATTCTCTTTTCTTCCTTCTCCAATCCAAATCATGAGCAACGAAGAAATAGCCCATGATTTCTCTCCCATGATTAAAGTCTACAAAGATGGTCGAGTTGAGAGACTCCTAGGCACATCAACAGTTCCTCCGTCAACACATCCAGAGAATGGCGTCCAATCAAAAGACGTTGTGATCTCACAAGAACCAGCCATATCTGCAAGGCTTTACATCCCAAAATCCGCCACAAGCTCACCCCAAACAAAATTCCCTCTTCTCGTTTACTTTCACGGAGGCGGCTTCTGCATTGAAAGCTCATCTTCTCCCACATATCACAACTACCTCAACACCTTAGTCTCTGAGTCCAATGTTGTTGCCGTCTCTGTTGACTACAGGCTTGCCCCGGAAAACCCTTTGCCGGCTGCTTACGATGATTCATGGGCTGCTCTCAAATGGGTTGCTTCCCATTTTGATGGAAACGGCTCTGAAGAATGGCTAAACAGATTTGCAGATTTACGCGGTGTGTTTTTCGGCGGTGACAGTGCTGGAGCTAATATAGCACACAACATGGCTTTGAAATTGGGGGTGTGAGGGATTGGTTGGTGTTAAGCTTATTGGGATTGTATTGATACATCCTTACTTTTGGGGCACAGAGCCAGTTGGGGAAGAGTTAACTATCCCTGAAGCTATAAGAGAGTATATAGCTGCATTGTGGCGTTTCACTTGCCCTTTGAGTATCGGATCCGATGACCCGCTTTTCAACCCGGGAAAGGATCCGAAGTTGGGGGAATTGGGTTGCGAGAAAGTGCTGGTTTGTGTTGCTGAGAAAGATGGTTTGAAAGATAGGGGGTGGCATTATAGTGAGGTACTGAAGAAGAGTGGATGGAAAGGGATTGTGGAGGTCATAGAAGCAAAGGGGGAGGAACATGGGTTCCATTTGTTCAATCCCAATTGTGAGAATGCTGTGGCCAAGAAGAAAAAGATTGCTTCCTTCTTGAATTAGAATAATTTGCCTGAAAATCTTGGTGTACTTAGTTTGGTATTATGTATTAGGAAATTGTAAATCACCTTTGTTTTTCTAAATGTGATGAGTTTAAGGCCTAGGTCTAGTGATCTTCCTAATTTTAATCGTGGGATGTGTTTTGAATTAAAAATCTAAACAAGTCATTTTACAATTCATTTTTGGCCAGCAATGAGAGGACTTGAACCTGTGGATGTTAAGATCTGGAAGAAACGGTAGTCAATAAAACATCCAGATTTTAAAACAAGTAGAGCTAAAAAAGGAAATAAAATAGACTCTGATCGGCGAAGTTAAAGATCTGTCTCAGTGGATCGCAAAAACTTTCAGATTAGTTTGAGGTTTCTTACTTCTTGGTTACAATACTTCTAAAGTTGGGATCATCTTCATCAGCATCTTTCAAAACCTGAGTGTAAGGTTTGCAGGGAGTAGAACAAGTCAACAAGAACTCATACCAGCTTTGTGCAACAAATCTTTTACATATTTAGATTGATTTACAAATATATAACCAGCAGAAGTATAAGACAATTGCAAGCCGAGAAAATATGTGAGTTTATATCCATGGGAACAACTACAGTGACTGACCGAATTATTGTGACGGTGATGTTATGAATTTATTCAAATTATAATACATTAAATCTAATGAATTCTCTTAAAATATAATATAGCATACGTTAGATTTAAGTTTTAGAATTTAGGGTTATAATTAATTAACTGGATGCACGTATGTCACGTGGTGTTGGCATCGTATACGACTGACTAACTTAAATTTTATAATGCACTGCTGGTTTCATTTTCAAAGCTCACGTGTCTGTCAAGTGATTTACCATATTTCAAATTGCACTGGTTTTATTTTTTATTTTTTTCAAATAAAAATAATAATATTTTTTGGATGTGGATATTCCACAGGTTGGCATTTCGGTCATTTGCTATAATATTCTTTCAACGTTCAGAGACGTTTCTTGCAAGTTGAAAGCATCGGCCCTACGTGTTCAATTCAAATGTCGCAACTGATGGGGAAGGTTTCATGCGCATGAGAGAGGAAAATTTTAGCGTCATGCATGATGTACATCACTTGGTAGAGAAAAACTTTGCATGTATTTACTTTTCAATTAAATAATCATAAATGATTTTGAGTCCTTCAACGAAAAAAATCAATCATCCCGTTTGATATGGAGGATTAGCCTGAATTAGTTAAATGATTAAGTTTCGTTTGCAAGTAAAAAGATACGGAGGATTAGACTGGATTAGTTAAATGATTAAGTTTCATTTGCAAGTAAAAAAGAATATGAATATTATCTTCTAATTTGTAGGATTAAAATGGACTCTTCATGAAAAGTTGTCCTTTTTAATCCCACCGAAATTGCACATAAAATGTAGTTATTTAGTTAACTTAGGCTAGTTCCGTCTAATCATCCGTATCAAACGAGACCTAATAGTACTATTTGACAACTTTGCTATTTAAAAACTACAATATTAAATCAAACTGACTAATGAAGGGGACCAAATTCTTATTTAATCAATTTGGTAGGACAAAATTAGAGGAAAAGACTTCGCAAATGAAATCAATATAGCGTGAAAATGACGACGGGAAAAGTAATGTTGAGAGAAGTAGCACATGCATTAGCACGGAAAACAAATCTCGTGAAAAAAAAAGAAGACTTTGAATTTAGATGTGAGCTTAGACAGTTTGGCCACTGAAATTCTTTAAAGACCTCAAAATCAAATATATTAAAGACTTACCTGCCTCCCAATTACCTAGATGCGTGCATATACTAAGGAAGGCAAAAATGTCAACAAGAGCAACCAATTTGTTTTATTAGAGTTAATTTGAAGGTTCCATAAAAAGAAATAATTATAATGTGATATTGGATCACCGTCACACTCTTACCTTAAATGTGTGGGAAATATAAATAATGTAATTCACCCGTATTATAACACGTGTACCGGGTTATACTGCTTCAGCGTATTGGCTACCATAACAGAAACACCAAGACTCCAGCATAAATAGAACTTTTGGTTCTACTCTGCTGTCTGCATAAGAAAAAGAGAGAGAGAGGCCTCCATAGTTGCTTCTTGTTATTTTCTTCTCTTCCTTCTCCAGTCCAAACCATGAGCAACGAAGACTTAGCCCATGATTTCTCTCCAATGATTAAAGTATACAAAGATGGTCGAGTTGAGAGACTCGCAGGAACAGACAGAGTTCCGCCATCAACAAATCCAGAAAATGGCGTCCAATCGAAGGACGTTGTGATCTCACAAGAACCAGCCATATCTGCAAGAATTTTCATCCCCAAAACCACCACAGACTCACCCCAAACCAAACTCCCTCTTCTCATTTACTTTCATGGAGGAGGATTCTCCATTGAAAGTCCATTTTCTCCAGCATATCACAGCTACGTCAACACCTTAGTCTCTGAGGCCAATGTTGTTGCAGTCTCTGTTGACTATAGGCTTGTCCCAGAGCACCCTCTGCCGGCTGCTTACGATGATTCATGGGCTGCTATCAAATGGGTTGCTTCCCATTTTGATGGCAACGGCTCTGAAGATTGGCTAAATAGATTTGCAGATTTGCAGCGTGTGTTTTTCGCTGGGGACAGCGCTGGTGCTAATATAACACACAACATGGCTGTGAAATTGGGGTGTGAGGGATTGGTTGGTGTTAAGCTGGTTGGGATTGTTTTGGTGCATCCTTTCTTTTGGGGCACAGAGCCAGTTGGGGCAGAGATAACTACCCCTGCAGCTACAAAAGAGTATATGGCTGGTGTGTGGCGTTTTGCTTGCCCTTCGACTTGTGGATCCGACGACCCGCTTATAAACCCGGCTAAGGATCCGAAATTGGGGAAATTGGGTTGTGAGAAAGTGCTGGTTTGTGTTGCTGAGAAAGATGGGTTGAAAGATAGAGGATGGCATTATAGTGAGATACTGAAAAAGAGTGGGTGGAATGGTGCTGTGGAGGTCGTAGAAGCAAAGGTGTGTTCCATTTGTTCAATCCAATTTGTGACAACGCTGTGGCCTTGAAGAAAAAGATTGTTTCTTTCTTGAACTAGAATAATTTTTCTGAAACTTTGGTTTACTATGTAAGTTTCGTTTGTTTCTTTTCATCTCATCTTTTCATGTTTTCATCCCCCCCTCCTCCTTTTTTTTTTTTTTTTTTTTTTTTTTTTTTTTTGTTTTTGCTACAGAGTTTGATACAGTTTAGTTATTGATTCTCATCATACCTTCATCTGTTTCTTTTCTAAGGGAGATGTTAAAGTGGCACTTCCTCACTCCAACCGAAATGTCCAAAGTGAAATTAAATCCTAAGTGAAATAACATTTCTCTCTCTTGCTGTTATTTTTGATTGTTTCACTTTGTGATGTTATTTCATTTATCGTATTATTATTTTAATGTGCCTTGATTGTACACAAATAAACAATATATAATAAAATAATATTTTAATTTGACATATCAAGTAAAATGTAAGTTGTCAAATTCAAATTTAATGTTCAACATTTGCATTTGAGGGACCTAATGAATCTATAAATCAATCATCGTCCTAAGAGGCTTGGACGCCAATGACCTAGTCTATTCGATCTCATTTAGGGAGCTTCTATAACGAGGCTATGTTGATGGTATACAATGAGGGGGTTCAATCCAATAATCCAATAATAACTCTATATTCAATCAAATGCCTATTAAGAAGCCTTTCATTATAACCCCTCGCAATAACCCCTCATTCTATCCTCCCTGCTCATTTTCAACATTCTATAAAGGCCTCGCGTTAACAATCTAGCGATCAAAGAGCCCACTTTGTGATATTAGGTTTTATATCTTATTCCTAGGACGTCATTCACTGTTTCATGAATATGTGGGATATTAGGTAGAACCCAAGTATTGTTCCAAGTCATTAGCTCCATTGTGAATAAAAGACGTAATTAACCATCCAACAAAAACCTAAGCATGGGAAGGGAAATGAAAATCCCCATACTAGAAAATTGAAGTACTACTTACAAATTAAAGAGTCTCTAAACTGCCAATGAGGTCTAACCCAATGTGAAAGAGCATTGATTTGCACACTATAGGTTTCATGTCCAAACTCCCATGGTATCTAGACTAGATATCTCATATTCAAATTCTCGTGGTATCTTAGATGTGTGTGAGTTCCTGTAGTTTAAATTTAAAAATACAAATCTCTAAAACATGCACATGTGATGATGTGACGAGCCAATATGACATACTCACATGTGACGAGCCTATTTTCTGACACTAGTGTTATGGATAAAATTAAATTAATTATTCTTCTTGTGTACCAGTCAATATTTCAACAACTACATACACAGTGACTGACTTATCTGTATTTGTACCATTCAACATTTCTTTTTTATTTTTGGGTCACGTACCACTTATTGCGTTTATAGCGACCGTATGACGTTACGAATTTACTCAAATTATAACACGTCATGATATTACAAATTCACTTAAAATATAATAAAGCATATGTACTTATGAAGAGATCTGTAGTATGTTATGTGGTGTTATCATCATACATCCAATTGCTTACACGTTTGAAGTATATAATGCATGGACCAACTTAGAGTATAAAATGCACTGCCGGGTTCCATTTTCAATTGCTTTGCCATATTTTAAATTGCACTGGTCCTTTTTTTTACTTCTTCTTTATTGGATGCGAATATTCCACACGGGGGTTGGCATTTGGTCATTTGTCTAATAGTTTAAACAATTAGAAACCTTTCTTGATGAACATTAGCCGCACGTGTTCAATTCAAATTCCGCAACTGAGGATGAGAAAAGTTTCATTCACATGCAGAGCAGAAAAATTATAGCATCATGCATGATGTATGCTACGGAGTACAAGGAGAGTAAATGCTCTCTAATAACCCTGTTATTGTGGCAAGCAACCTCATTATATCAATATTATCTCGATGTAGTCTTGATTTGACTTAAATTATGTATTATTGTTATGTTGATACACTAATAATGTTTACTTAGCTTTCTCAAAACAATGGATGATAACTTTCAAACATTTGATAAGAGATAATGTAAACAAATAACTAATAAAAGGACCAAATTCTTATTTAATCAGTGTAGTAAGACTAGATGACAGGAAAAATATTAATAAAAAAAAATAGAGGAAAAAGATTTCGCAGATGAAATCAAAAGAGCATGAAAAAGAAGACCAGAAAAGTAAAGTTTGGAGCCGCCTATGAGACAAGTAGCATGCATAAACACGGAAAACAAAATAAAAACGAATAATTTTTTTAATTTTTAATTTTATTTTTGAATTTAGATGTGAATGTAGACAGTTCGGGCAGTGGCCATTGAAATTCTTTGGCGTCCTAAATAAAACAAAGACAAAATTAAATATATAAAAAGACTTATCTGCCGTTCTCTTTGCCAAAACTAGAAGCATGAAATTTCATACGCAGGTAAAAATGTCCAACAACTAATTTGTTTTATTAGAATTAATTTGAAAGTTCTCGTAGAAAAATGAGTAATTATAATGTGGTGTTCAAATATAATCACAAGGTATAATTCGTTCGTCTATTATAATATAAAGAATATTGATTGATACTCTATCTTAAAAGTTGGAAATATCAGCCAACAGGTCTAGTCGAGTGAAAAAAACCTTAACTTGCAAATTAGTGATCGCTGTTCAAACTCCCATAACACATTAGTAATGTGTGTAATGTGGAAACCCCCTTTCCTGTATCATAATACATGGACGGGTTTTACAGTGGGAGTGTTTTCAGCACCAACAAAAATTTCTCTATTAAAACCCACCAAGGCGCCAGCATAAACACAAAACAAATTTTGCTTCTATTCTGCATAACAGAGAGAGAGAGAGAGAGAGAGAGAGAGAGAGAGAATAGTTGTTAGGTGTTATTTTCTTCTCTTCCTTCTCCAGTCCGAACCATGAGCAACGAAGACCTAGCCCATGATTTCTCTCCAATGATTAAAGTATACAAAGATGGTCGAGTTGAGAGACTCATGGGCACAGAAAGAGTTCCTCCATCAACACATCCAGAAAATGGCGTCCAATCGAAGGACGTTGTGATCTCACAAGAACCAGCCATATCTGCAAGAATTTTCATCCCAAAAACCAGCACACACTCACCCCCAAACCAAACTCCCTCTTCTCATTTACTTTCATGGAGGCGGCTTCTGCATTGAAAGTTCATCTTCTCCAGCATATCACAGCTACGTCAACACCTTAGTCTCTGAGGCCAATGTTGTTGCCGTCTCGGTGGACTACAGGCTTGCCCCAGAGCACCCTCTGCCAGCTGCTTACAATGATTCATGGGCTGCTATCAAATGGGTTGCTTCCCATTTTGATGGAAACGGCTCTGAAGATTGGCTAAATAGATTTGCAGATTTCAAGCGTGTGTTTTTCGCTGGGGACAGCGCTGGTGCTAATATAACACACAACATGGCTGTAAAATTGGGGTGTGAGAGATTGGTTGGTGTTAAGCTGGTTGGGATTGTTTTGGTGCATCCTTTCTTTTGGGGCACAGAGCCAGTTGGGGCAGAGTTAACTACACCTGCAGCTACAAAAGAGTATATGGCTGGTGTGTGGCGTTTTGCTTGCCCTTCGACTTGTGGATCAGACGACCCACTTATAAATCCAGCTAAGGATCCAAAATTGGGGGAATTGGGTTGTGAGAAAGTGCTGGTTTGTGTTGCTGAGAAAGATGGGTTGAAAGATAGAGGATGGCATTATAGTGAGATACTGAAAAAGAGTGGGTGGAATGGTGCTGTGGAGGTCATAGAATCAAAGGGGGAGGGCCATGTGTTCCATTTGTTCAATCCAATTTGTGACAACGCTGTGGCCTTGAAGAAAAGATTGTTTCTTTCTTGAACTAGAATGTTTTTTTTTCCCGAAACTTGGGTGTACTTAGTAATATGACAATACCCTTTAAGCTAGGTTTGTGGTTTTGGTTTATTTTCTTCATCTGTTTCATTTCATGATTTCATCCCTTGTATGGTTTTTTGGTTGAAATAAAAGCTTCTGTTTCAAAGACTTTATACCTATTACTGCATAAATAAGATGTCAACAAAGCAACCCCACTCGAGGTCAGAAAAATACCAAATTGTAATTAAATTTGGTAGTGATCTAGTGTATGCCACTTCACATGTCAATACAGAGTGTTTAGCATTGGATGATCAAACAAGTATGAATATGTTTTGTGTTGGTTTTCTTTCTTCTGTAAAATATTAAGTATGAGAGATTGCTGGGTTGTTACTTTGTTATGTCTTCATATTGAAAATATGGGTGAGTTTTGTTTTGAAGACCAAAAAAGTGAATACGGGTGAGTTTTGTTTTGTTTTGTTTTTTTTTCAAAGAAGAGAAGAAAAATTAGACTAATTTGAGCAAAGCCAATCGATACTGTCATGATTATTAGTAGGTGCTTTAAGGCCTAAAGGAGAAAGTTGATTCCAAAAGTTGTGAAGAATAGGAACAATTAGCAAATAAATGATTATAAGTTTCAGGATGTTGTTGACAAAAGGGACAAATATTAGGTAAATTAGAAAAGCTTCTAAGCCAATCACGAGTATTTAATCTTTTTTTTAAATACAAAAATCCAAGTAATTTTTTTAATTTTAGGAGGCAATTTTAGATTCCAGATTTTTTTATAAATATTAATTATTAGTGTACTATGGGGCTTGAACTCAAGATCACTTGTGAGCACACCAAAAACTTGTAAAAATCAAATTACATTACTTAGCAATACACTAAAATTAGGTGAATATTGGTGGATTTAAAAAAATCCTAAAAGGTCATTATTTTAGTTTGGTTCCATTTTTTTACCCTCCTTTCACATCCCACCAATTCTAAATCATCATTTGACAAAAAAAAAACCAATTCTAAATCATTAATACCCACATGTGTGTGTTCGTGTCCCCACCCCCTTCTTCATGGACCCTGTACCTGTAGAAAAACTTGTATGACATGTTTTCTATTACTAACCAATAATAGGCTGCCACACGAAATATTTATCATGCATAGCATGCCATGATTGAACGAGTGTAGCAAATAGTCTTATTCTATTGTTTATCCTGACCCCTTTTTCAACCCGGGTAAGGATTCGAAGTTGGGGGAGTTGAGTTGTGTGAAAGTGCTGGTTTTTGTTGCTGAGAAAGATGTGTTGAAAGATAGAGGATGGCATTACAGTGAGACACTTAAAAGGAGTGGGTGGAAAGGGGATGTGGAGGTCATAGAAGCAAAGGGGGAGAGGCATGTGTTCCATTGGATCAATCCCACTTGTGACAATGCTGTGGCCATGGAGAAAAAGATTGTTGCTTTCTTGAATTAGAATAACTAGCAATGGTGCCCGCGCGATGCTGCGGGTTTTAAAACCGTGTGAAATGTGTAGGAAAGATGGTACTATTTATATAGTCATGGAGATCTAAATAGTGGCATCATGCTTTGTTTAGCAAGTCTAAGTTACAAAAAAAATATGATAATAACATGTTTTTTATGTTGTTTGTCTTGATTAAAATACTGACCATATTTTAATAAATCAAGTAACAGTCAAAACATCAAAATATCGACAATATTGAGCTGCTCATTGTTCAAAAGAGTTTGGATAGGTCTTTATATATATGCCACTGGGTGGTGGAAGAGGATTTTTCTGCCTTGATCTCTGTTAGAATGGGTTCTCTCTCTTGTTAGCTCCGCTGTAGAGGTGGCTTATGTTCTTTGTTGTCCTCTGCAGTGGTTTTAACTCTGTTGATACAAATTTGGAAAATGACAGGTGTTAATGTAAGCAGAATAAAAGCAAAAATAACAGGCTATGGGTTATAGTTTTGTTCATTACATCTAAAACATCCGATGAGGCCATCAAATTAGTATTAGGCCACCAAATTTAAACACCACATTAGTATTAGGCCATCAAATTTTTTCCATCTCTTTCATTTGTAAACTCTAATGGGTTTGGACAAAATGTACTCATCACCTACCCCTCAATTGGTGAGAACAGTTTTTTACCGACGCCCTTAAACTATATAAATAACTACATTTAAAAAGTAGGCAAACAGATAACAAACAAACAGGAATTCTCATCTTTCACCAAAAACAAACACTTTCACCTCTGAGTAACAATAAATTGCAGAAATTGTAAATTGAAATAAAGTTATGTTCCTGTATTCAATGAAAGAGAGCAAACTTACATTTGAATCTGCAGTGAAGTTGAAATACTGGAATAAGATTCTCAGGACCAAGAAAACAATTCCAACAATAATACCCAATACTCAGGCCCTGCAAAACACAAATGGAACATTAACTATAAAAGATAAGTTGGGGGTATGAAACATCATACTAATATAACAGACTACTTATATTTGGAAAAGCAAAAAGAGGATCTTCTCCGGTGCACACTTCATAATATTTGGATTTTGCATTTTCTAAAACAAACCTTCTGAAATGGAAATCCAAATTTCTCACTAAAATTAATTTCTAGGGAATACAAAAGGAAAAACCAAAGTCAAAACTATGGATGATAATCACTGTGCCTTAATTGTCTAAATCATTGATGCTGCAAATCATCAAATTTTTCATAAACAACAGTCTAAACAATGAGCTCCAAAGACTCAGTAACATAGATGAAAGAGTTGAGCTGCAAATTTAGCATGCAGCAGAACCTATATAATTTTGGTTTTCCATGTGAGATAAGACAGTCTCAATTAATTAATCTGTTGCAACACTGTTTTAGATATGAAGGAATATAAAAAATATGGACCCCAACAGAAATCACAACCTCTGTTACATTTCCTTTTCTCATACCAACAAATGGAAACACGAAAATATGAGGATATGAAGTGAAGACTGGTTTGTTTTCAAATTCATTCAGAAGACAATAACATCTTAATTGTGAGCGAAGACAGTTCCTACAACTCTGTCCTTGTGTATCATAAAGTTCTAATTCATCAAAATTATCTATCAGCCTCAGCATGTAGAATGCGAAACAGCAATCTGCTTATATACCAAAAAACAAATAGACACACAAACACATACATATTACAACTAAAATTATTACAATTGTGGTTCATTAGGCACAAATAACTTGAGTTTAATTCATTAGCACCACAATAAATAAGTCGATAATCTGAAGCCACCATAATACCAGGTTCACATGATGCCTTAAATCTTAAACCTAAAAATTGGTTAGAATATTACCCCGGAGAAGTTTTATGTGCTGGTTCCACCTTCAGTTTTTGAAGCTGACCAGTAAAGAAAATATCCACCTGATCATTCAATGCAATGAGAACAAAAACTCAACAAAATTACTTGCAGCAGAGAGTGCTTCAAAATTTACCTGATCTGCAAGTTCAATGATAAAGAAGTCTTCTGCACCACCAACCAGAAAAGCATTTGAAAAAAGAGGAAGTTGCCTTAAGAAGCTCCTGAGTTTGTCAACTGCATGAATCAACACATTACTGGAGAATTTACAATTTCTTGATTCAGCCTGAGTCATAAAAAAATATAAACCTCGAAAGTAAAAGAAATAGATCTCACTGTACCTGAGAATTAATGAAGAATTCTAAAGTTAATTTTAAATTTCAATGCTAAATATATTGGCTCCTTAATCAATGTCATGGCAAAAGTTCCCCATAAAAGTTAAAAAAAAGCATGAACTCCTGACCTACGGGGATTTTATTCAACCATTTGGGCTCCAAAGCAACATCTTCAAGAAGATACTGAGATACAATGTGGGGTAAAACAACACAAAAATGTAATGAATATTTCGTAAAGTTCTTCAACAAAAGCATATAAATGTCATCTTTATGAGGGCTGATACACGAAAGAGGGATTGAAATCGGCTTGTATGATTATCAATCCTGAAAATATGCAGAGAGTGCAATTAATAAGTTTGTTAAGCTAAATGGAGAATAAATTATATAATGTGTGGAAGCACAAATTAAACCTAGTAACTTTTTTTTTTCGGTTACAATTAAACCTAGTAACTTTGAAAAGGAAGAAAATGAACAAATTTGATTATCCAAATATGCTATTTGTCATTATATATATGGATAGGAGCAGCCAGAAGACAAATGCTATTTGAAAAACAACAATATAATATTTGACATATAATCATATTCTCTGTTTCATCAGTCATTCAAAACTTCCCTTTAAAGCCAATTTTAAACAGAGTAAATAAAGTCCAAAAAGTCAGTTTCCTTGAGATCAAAATCCTTCTGATTTTGTGCGGTAGCCGTAGTGGGTTGGACTTGAACGCACATTAGCGTCACGTGCATGGAATGGATCGAAATCTTAACTTATTCTAATCCTAACCAATTTTTATCAAACACCTTCTCTGCTACTTGAGCTAATTCCTACAGCATACACTGAAATTATGCTTCCAAGAGTATCAAGTAAATCTGAATACACTTAACTATGAGCAAACCATGCGTATATGGTAAATAAAAATTCATGAAAGGAAATGGAAAACTCATGTACCTGATGGATAACAGTGGTGGATATGCACATTGTGGATGATGACATTGCTTATGTACTGCCATGTGATGCAGCCACAACCCACAATGTGGACATTGGCTCCACGGCAATCAAGGGTCTTGCAGCTGTTGAAGATGAGCTCTTGGGAGAGCTTGATGAGCATGTTGCCAGGGAACACAATCCAGAGAGGCTCAGTCTGTATCACAGCATATCTCAGAGTGCCTGGCCTTGGATTCACAGCATCATCATTAGAAGAGTCTGTGACAATATAATACTCACCACCTTTGCCTCCAAGAGCATATTGGCCAAACCCAATTGCACAATCTGCTAAGCTCTGCCTGTTGTCTGGCCAATTTGGGTCACATTCCCAACAGTCATCTATTGGGTTTTCGGTTAGGCATGAA